CCCCTTTACGTTGTGGCAAAGAGATATTTCATCTATTTCTTTTCCTCTCCAATTCTGTCATGTCTCGTTGATGGATTCTTCATTCTTTCAAATGTTGATATGTCATTCGATTGTTTTACCAATTGAAGAATCGAGTTGTTCATCCAATTTAAGTAATGCAAGTGTAAGCTTACATGGATCGTAGGTATTTGTATGTTAAAGGATAGGGCACCATAACCTCCTACATCGAGACATTGTCTCCAATGGACGAAATCTACTATTAAGGACAGTGAACTTACACATTTCAACCTAAAATCTTGTTTTAATCAAGTACCAACGAAAAAACATTTGTACCTTGAAAAACATTAGTATTTTGTTGTTGTTTCATTATTTTATATGATTGACCATGTCAACATAAAGTATCATTTACTAATTAATATTTATCTTGTGTGATCTGTTGTAGGAAATAGCATCCACATCGCCAATATTTCCAACACTTTAATCTTAATTATTTACTTGCATTATTTTCACCATATTTTTACAATTTTGCTCTTTTCTTGTCACATATGTAATATTAACATGGATTTCAAGTTCTTAACTCCTAGTTTGAAGTTGTTATAAAAAAATTAAAAAATAGAAAACTTCATTTTAATCTTTGACAAAGATGACTTTTAGACTAAAACCATGAGTAAGATCAAAATCTAATTCTAGTCCCTTGATACATTAATCACTTCATTTATTAATTACTTTTTGATGTTTTAATTATTTCTCTTTTTCTTTCTAATTTTAATGTATTAATTTTTCATTTCATTCATTGTAATATATTTTGTTGTAAAAATTTAGACAAACTAATTTTTGTTATACAATATATATCGATATACTTGGTCTTCTTCATTTAGGTACATTAAATTCATTATACTACATTTCGATGCATACATTTAGATGCACACAGTTTGGTACACACATTCCAATATAAACATTTAGGTACATACATTTCGGTACTCACATTTAGGTACATTAATTTAATATAATACATTTTGGTACTAACATTTAAATACATTAATTCAATATAATACATTTCTGTCACATCCCGGCCTGGGCCCCCACCATATCCCAGGCTCGACTCCACCATAGCATGGTATTGTCTGCTTTGGGCCCGATCACACCTTCACGGTTTTGTCTCTGGGAACTCACGAGCAATTTCCCAGTGGGTCACCCAACCTAGGATTACTCTCGCGCGTTACTTGCTTAACTTTGGAGTTCTAATGGAACCCGAAGCCAGTGAGCTCCCAAAAGGCCTCGTGCTAGGTAGATATGAGAATATACATATAAGGCTTATAGGATCCACTCCCCTGGACGATGTGGGATGTTACAATCCACCCCCCTTAGGGGCCCGACGTCCTCGTCGGCACACACGGCCAGGGATTAGCTCTGATGCCAAATTGACACACTCCGACTGAAATCAAGGCATGATGACCGTCACGTGAGGGTGACGTAACCATGTGCACAATACGGAAGTAATAATAATATAAGAAATGCGAATAAATAAAAACCAAACTAACTAGAGCACTAGATAAGACTAAGTGCAAGACGACAATACGTGTAAGTTCACAACCAGGGCATAAGTAGCCTAAGTGCAGCCCAGACCATAAGCGTCACTGTATTGTCTCAATCATGCACCTGTTTTGGCGCTCCCAGATTATAGAACTGACACACCCCGACTCGGAATGTCCACTAGGACCCCGAACCGAGGCGTGCTGGTCGACACCTGGAATATGACGAAGCCATAAAGTGTGATAATGTATAAAATGTGAATAAATTAAAATCTAAAAGTGCCTAAGTACACAAGTGCACGGTGAGCGGGTCTGGACCCATTTCACACGTGATACAGAGCATAGGTACATTACAGTAAGGTAAGATAATGCTGCTAGAACCTGGAGGGGTGCAAAAATAGAAAATGTGAGTGAGTGAAACAAAACTTTTCAAACCAATGTCAATTACCAAAGGCAGTAGCTCCTCGCCGTAACACCTGTATAATTTCCCATAAATAACAGGCGTGACTATAACTCAAAACCATAACCAAAATAACAGTCTCACAGTTATGCCGTGTCAAATATCTTAACAAGAATAAGTAACCCATGTGAAATAAATCAATATGAAATGGTATGTCAACCGGATCCACCTATTGTGGCCTGTACGGCTGAACCAATAGCTCATCAACATGTTAGCCGGAGTCACCTCACGTGACCTGTACGGCTGAATCAATAACTTATCAACTTGCTAGCCGGAGTCACCTATAGTGACATGTATGACTTGTCCATATCTCATCAATCAATGCTAGCACATAAGTCGGAGTCACCTATAGTGCCCTGTATGACTGAATCAATAGCTCATCAAATATCCCTGCACATAAGTCGGAACCACCTCTAATGGTCTGTACGACAGGACTGGGTGTAAATAAGTACGCTCAAGTGCTACGATCACGTGAAGACTGTGCCGTGGCCACGGGTGGGAGCACTAACACCGAGGTGTGGTGGGGGCCCGGCGAGGATGTGACAATTTCGGTACTAACATTTAGGTACATTAATTGAATCTTTTAAGTTTGAAGAATGTTAAATAAAATTAATAAATTAAAAAAAACTTTTTTGGGTCAAAAAATAAATTAGAATGTGTATATTAATAAATTTAAATATTTAATGGGAGAATATTGAATAAAATACACATTAATTATGTTGAATGAAGGACCCATCAGGGGACTATAATCAATAGGGTAAATTACACAAAACTACCGCAACTATTGGGTCAATCACAGTTTCATACCTCATCTTTAAAAAATGTCAATGTCACACCTCATCTACGAATTTATTACAATTTCATACCTTCCGTCAGTTGTCTGTCAATTCCTCCGTTAAATACTGACGTGGCTTGAGGCGGGACCCACTTTTTATTAAAAAAAAACTAATTAAATATTAACTAAATATTAAAAAATTAAAAAAAAAAAAAAAAAAAAAACCAAACCCACAGATCTTCACATCCCGTGTTCCCACCCCTTCCCCCCACAAAAACCATCATTCACCACCCCACTGCCGCTTTTCTTCCTCCATCTTCACTACCCCACTGCTAGTTAATCTCTTATCATGAGCCACTGATGCGCTGACCTTGAGCGAACCAGGAAGATCCTTGACGGCACGCGAAGCCACCTTCTGGGTTCGGGTTGACGCTGTCGTTTTGGGCGTCCGGGTGCAGATAGCGGAAGGAAGGGGTTGTCGGAGAAGACCGACTTGAAGAAATCCATGGGTGCAGACCAACTTGAAGATTTAGGTGTAGGATCGGAGGAGAGAGTGTTGGGTGGGACACAGTGGAGAAAGGGTAGGAGGGTGCTGGGAAGTTCCCGGAGGGGGGAATGTATGGGTGCAGATCGACTTAAAGATCTGGGTGTAGGACCGGAGGAGAAAGGGTTGGGTGGGATGCGGTGGAGTGAAAGTAGGATGGTGATGGGAAGTATCGGGTGGGGGGGGCGGGGGGGGGGGGAGTTTCCAGTGGGGAGAAAGGGATCTGGGTTTTTGGGGAGAGGGACACGGGTTGATGGGAGAATGGGATCTGGGTTTGGTTTTTTGGTTTTTTATTTTTTAATATTTAGTTAATTTTTTAATAAAAAATGGGTCCTTCCTCAAGCCACATCAGCATTTAATGGAGAAATTGATAGACAACTGACGGAATGTATGAAATTGTAATAAATTCGTAGATGAGGTATGACATTGACATTTTTTAAAGATGAGGTATGAAACTGTGACTAACCCAATAGTTAAGGTAGTTTTGTGTAATTTACCCTAATCAATATGTAATCTAACACTAGGTTTATTTAAAATTTCAAACTTCTTCAAGGATTAAAGTTAAAACCCCCATAAAAAAAACATACTAAACGACAAGATTGAATTATATGGCTAACTAAATTTTGAAATAGATGGATCATACTTGAGAGATTCAAAATATTTGTCCATTTTGCCACTTAGTACTGCGGTCTAGTGTATTCTTTTTCACTTGTAAGTAATAGGTCTTAGGTTCGATTTTTGCCAAATGCGAATTTGAACCACATTATTGCTATACCATTATGAGGCTTAGCCCATTCCCCCACCTTGTAGTTTAGATAATATCATTTGTTCAAAAAATAAGGGTTTAAGGTTTAGGAGTTTGTCAAGTATAGACTGGTGCATGGTATAATCGAGATTATTGGTTGTTGGATCAATCCTTAGCCTTTGAATTATTCTTAATTGTTGGATCTTAATCATTGAATCTCTGATTACATACTCAGCCGTTCATTCACTTGATTCATACTATGAGATAGTCGGTTCCAAAATTTTCGCTATTTCAAATTGTATATGATCTTTCATTCTTCCCTCCCTAAAGCTAATCACTTTCCCCACAGTTAACAAGTGATAATCCCACTCCCACCTAGTTCCACTAGCTATAGTAAAAGAAAAGAAATATATGGAATGCAATGATGAAAAACTAATAATAATGCACGTCTCTTAATAATCAATGACAATGATAGGGCAACTTTTATGAAAGTCATGTAAGTGGTAGATTATATTAATATAATTTTTTGACATTGGCGCTAGAAGACATTTCTCTTTTCCAATTTGAAATGTAATTTGAAATGTAATGTAATGTTAGAGAGACTAAATTTAGAAATTAAAATTTGAAAACTAAAGGACTTGTAAATTGATAATTGGTTTATTACTTAAATGTTGATGGACGTGCTCATTTCTATTAGTGACACATCATTTAGTTTACAATTTTAGTCTCTAAATTTAATCTCTCTAGCATTACTCACAAGAATCCAGATGAAAGGGGACGTACGTTACCACTTACTACGAGGGTTAAGGAGTAGGTGCGTGGACTTCAGTGTCCAATCTTCAGCAGGCTTCCCGCTTTTAACCTAAAAAAGCTTCGATTCAACGTTTTAAATTGCTGTAGTCAAAACAGTGACATCCACCACCACCATCACAGATAGAGATAGATTGGAATAAAAGTGCTTTTGGTTCCAAAAGGCAGAAGTAGAAGCAGAGCTAGCTTTCAGTACAAATTAAGAGACAATTACTTGCCTTTCTTCTTTCCCGAAACGAATAAGAAAAGAAGAAAACCAAGAAAAGAAGGAAAGCACATCACATTGTCAAATTAAGCATATCCCATCATTTTCTTCCTTCTGGATGTAATGGGAAGAGCTCCAGAGTCATAACTCCAACACTACCTCCCTTAACGGCGTCGTCGTTGTCGACCTTACATACTACACTACTATGGTCACCTTCTAACAAGCAATCAAATCCCCAGCTCCTACACTTTCTCTTGTACGGACTATCTTCCTCTCTTTCCACTACTATTTCTCCCAGCTGCAAAAACACAACATATAATATACATAAGTTGGATGAATGTGTAAACATAAGTTGGATGAATGTGTAAAATAAAAACAATAAACACCTTTTGTTTTTGTTACAAGGGAAGATTTTAAGCCTTGTATCTCTAGCCTAGCTACCCCTACCCATCCCCTTTCCACACTTATTACTGAGCTAACCCCAGTGGCTGAAATAATAAACAACTTCATTTTATGACTAATTAGGGTCACTCACGGTGGTAATTACAGGAGTCGGTGTTCTTGGAGAGTGGCTGAGGCCGAGGCTGCTGCGCTTTTGCTTCTGCCTCTCACGTGCCTTGTGATTCTGGAACCAGTAAAACACATTCTTTCCTTCGATCTTGCCGTACTTGCCAAGTTGAGCCGTGATTTGCTCTATTTGTTGTGCATTCGGAGTGCGCATTCCTTCTCTATACAACATTTCAAGTATCCCTATCTGTTCTTGCGTAGGGTTCCAGCGTGTCCCTCCCGGGTGCGTCTCTACCTGCACCATCATCAATTTTTCAGCAAACTCATTTTATTCTCATGTTTACATTACCTTACAAATCTTGATAATTTGGTATACACTGATTATGAACAAAAATTGTAGTCTAAATTCACAGTCTAACACTCTTGTTTGTCAACCTAGTTTGTTCAGGTAACATAGGTGTTGAGGCATGTAAGAAATGTATGATTGCATGATAAATTTAGTATATATGGTATATTTAGTACCTGAGGGTGGGGGGGATCTTTCTTCTCCTGAAGATGGTTAGAAGATCCAAGTTTTCTGGGGCCACTTTCAGGTCTGATGAAACTCTTGAGATCGAAAGGAGCGAGAGTGGTAGTAGTGTCGGAGGTGGCGGCCGCGGTGTTGGCCAGTTTGGGAGCAAGAGGGCGTAAGCGTTTGGTGCAGCCAAGCGTGAGGGAGGGTTCGTGCTCCCAGAGTCCACGTGCGAACTGATGCACCTTCATGCTGCTCATTCCCATATGTGGTGAGTGGAGTACTGAATGATAGAGCCTTAGAGCTAGATAGCAAGTAATTATATAAGAGGGCCAAAAACGAAGATCATGATCACAGTTATTAAAGTGACAAAGTGGGAAATGAGGTGGTGTATGGAACAACCAAGACCAAATGATGAGGTGCGGTTGACTTGGGATTTTCCATACTAAAAATATGAAAAGATAAAGCAAGAAAAAAGAGAATGTTGTGTTTGTGTGTGAGAGAGAGAAAGAGAGAGAAAGAGAGACATGTATGCATGAGACTTAATTAATTATGAGAAGGTGATTATGGAGAAATTTAATTTTTATACTAATAGATTATGGTCGTTTTGTGTTAAAATACAATTACGTGATATGATTAATTTACGAGTTTAAATTTATTGTCACTATATTTGAACATGCATGCACAATAGTTATATAAAGCGACTGTGTTTTAGTAGTGCACAACAATTTTTTGTTATGTTTTAATAGTGCACAATAATGTTTTTGAAGTTACGAGCTTATAGATTGGTTGTTATGTTTCAGTACCACATCTGTAATTACAAACGTGTGGGTGTCTGAGTGCGTATGTGCGTCCGTGTTGGCCCGTGTTGGCCCGTCAAATCTTGTCAATTTTTTCTTGCTTTCATGATAAGGTGTCCATGCTTTTCGGTGGCCTTCTTTGGCATTGGCTCTTTCTCCAGCTTTTCCACAAAAAAGCTAGCCAGGAGGACTACTCTAATCAGAGGGAGGGAGAATAATAAGAAAAAAAAGGTTTCCTCCAATCCCAAAACTTGAATATGGGAACTACCCTTTGCCCTTTTGCCATTTGCCTCTTTGCTTTTTCTAGATACGAATCATATAAATATATATTTGTGAATGCCGTCGTAGTCTTTGGTTTCACTCTTTAAGTCGTATACAGCGTTGAAAAACTTACTCACAATTCGACCTTCCAAATCTATCTGAATGCATGCCAAGCCAAACAGGTGCGTCATGCCATTTCCCTATATTTTGTATCCTTTTTGGCTCTTTCTTTTGGTGACTGTACGTAGTTCCAATTTCCCAAATAGTATTATAACTATAAAACCTCACAATCCCCCCAACCTCGCTTTCTGCCCAAATTTAATTTAACATTTGTTTGCCAATATCTTGACAGCACCAAAGCCATATGAGAAACATTATATACAGTGTCGGCTCCAAGCTTTTGAATGTACTGTGCGGCGGCACTACCTGTATTTTTCAGAGCCGTCCAAATTACGTACATTTCCTACATATATGTATATATGTACGTAAAATTTCCAGCCCAACATATAGAATGATGAGTTTAGGGGTAATCTAGATAATAACTGTGAGCAATCACGCACAGTTAATTTTTGGAGAGTAATTGAGCATAACACGTGTGATGGATTGTGAAGATATAAACTTGATTCAGTAGGAACAAACATTTCAGTCAATATGAATCATCACAAACACCTGCGTGTGCTCTTGATATGAAATTCATTTCATGTTGCATGAGGGCCCAAAAAGTATGGAGGAGTTGTTCTAGCAGTTTCATGTAGGAATGAATGCTCTTCAGACATAATTTGCAGTACTTTAATCATGTAAATTTCGAACACCACGCGTGGAAGCAAATTTTCCCCATAAAGCTTTACTATATTTATAGGAAACATATCTGTGATACCATTTTTTTACACTAGTTTTTGTAGAGTCATTGCGTAATGTATTTTAACAATTCGAACCATCTATCTTTTAGAACATTATTCATAAATCATCCTTATAAAAAATTAGATAAATGTTAAACCATTAAGACATTCATTTATAATGAAAAAAAGGACAAAATATGGTTTTACAAAGAAACTCTAATCTCGTAATCCAACAGTCATATGGTTTCAAATTTGAGTAATTTTTGGTAAACATGATCAATAAATGATGTTCTAAAGATAGACAATTCAAATAATTGAAATACGGAATGAGTCTCACAAAAACTTATATAAAAAATTGTGGACAAAAAGTGGTGCCATGTATTTTATATTTAACTCTTATCAAACCCTAGAAAAAAACTAAAATACTATTTTGAAGAAGATGATTAATGAAGTACAGTAAGAGGCCCCAGGTATATCCGAATTACATATGAACACGCTAAGATATTTGTTGTCATGGAATTAAGCTAATAACTATAATAGTCAGTTCATACCCTTAAGAGAGTAGTTAATCAACACCAAATGTGAATGTGGCTATATAATTGAAATTAAAGGCATGCATGACTAATATCCCGATGAATAAGGGTTCATGTGTCAAGATTTGTTTGCTTGATGTGACTCAAGGTTGAGGGACCGGACTACTTCGAGAAATTTTAGGGGATGCACATGTTTTTATAAGGAGTTGAACTATTTTCAAACATTATTATAAATAAATAAAAAATAATTTGCGCAACGAAATAAGATTTGTTACGTAAAGTATGATTTCATCGCTCAAAACCTTGCAAAAAGAAATTTTTGTCATGCATGATTAGTCGTGCAAAGCTCCTTATGATAGGGTTTGCACGACGAAAATAAATATTTGTTGCGCAAAGCTTTTGGTTTTTTTTTATTTAATTAAATTAATTTAATATTTTACGCGACAAAATTAATTGTTTGCGAGACGAAATATTTTTTTGTACACGATATTTTATTTTTGTTTTATTATTTCCCTTATTTTAATTTAATTATAGTAATTGTTTGTGCGACGAAATATTTGGTAGCCCAAGATTTTTCGAATTTTTACTTTTTTTAATTTAATTTAATTTAATTGTATCTTTATTTTTTTTTAATTACTTTAATTTAAATTGAAATATTCAAAATAAAATTACATATGAAAAATAGTGATAAAATTATCCATAATATATATTATATTAAAAATGTACACATAAATTAACAAAGTACAATAATAAAATCCTAATACAAGTCTAATGTGGTGGTAGTGGAGGGGGATATGGTCCAATAGCGTCCTAATCCTCAACTTTCGCCGTCAAAGTCTCGATGATTCCCTACGAACAAAACAAACATGGTCAAATAATCCAAAAACAACAAAAAATAATACCAAAAAATGGGTATAATATCCCCTACAATTGGCATACCCCCATCCAACCCCAAAATCCACCCCACTCCAAACCCAATTAATTAACTCCGACAACACAAATTAATGGAAAAAAAATTAAAATTTGGGGAGAAAATACCTTTTGGCAAGATTGAGAGTGGGTGAGAATGAGAGAGAGGAGTGAGTGTGAGAGAGTTAGAGGAGATAGTGAGAGAGACATGAGAGAGTGAGAGATAGAGATGAGAGGGAAAAGACATTAAGTGAGAGGAGTGAGTGTGAGAAAGAGGGTCGGATTTGGGGAGAGGAAAAGAGAGGAGAGGTAAGAGAATAGAGAAGGACATTGAGAAAATTGTGGAGGAGTTATTTTGGTTTTAAAAACCGTATTACTTTGTGCGACGAAGGATTCGAGTTTACGTGACGAAATATTGGTCGCGCAAAGTCTTAAAAAAAAATATTCCCGCATCCCATTTTTGGTGCCCGCCCAAATTCTTAGGATTTTGCGCGACAAAGTGTTGGTTGTGCAAAGTTTTGCGTGACGAAGGATTTGTTGCACAAAGTTTTTTAGAAAAATTCCCACGTCCCATTTTTGGCACCCGCCCACATTTAAGGATTTTGCACAACGAAATATATGTTCGTCGTGCAAAATTTAAAATAATAATTTTATTTTACATTTAAAATATAAATAAATTAAAATAAATAGGGTTTAGGCGACCAAATGTTGATTCGTCGCGCAAAGAAAATAATTTAATTTAACAATAAAATATAAAATTAAATAAAAAACAAGTAAATAGGGTTTAGGCAACGAAATATTGATATACGTCGCGCAAAGTTTTTAAAAAATTATAAAAACTTATGAAAATAATTATATTTTAAATTTTATAATATAAAATTAAATAAAAATAATAATAAATTGGTTTAGGCGACGAAATATTTGGATTTCGTCGCACAAAGGTTTTTGAAGTTTAAAATTAGTTTCGTCGCGCAAAGTAACTTTGAGCGATGATGTTTGTTTCATCGCGCAAACTTTTGTAGCATAAGACTTTGCATGACAAAGTTCAAAATTTCGTCACTCAAAGTGACTATGTGCGACAATGTGTGTTTCATCGCGTAAAATTTCATCGTGCTAGGGGTTATTTTTACTACTGAAATTATCAATTGGTGTTAGAGTTTTTAGCTAAAGTGGTATCTAAGATTGTCATAACTCTTGACTTTAGTTCTTAAGATTTAAAATTGATAGAAGTGGTTCATGAGTTTGAATATCATCAATCATTTTTGTCCTTCCATGAAAAATGTCCGTTGAGTAAGACCAAAATGTCAAAAATACCCTCAAATTTGTCAAATCATTTTGGTCAATTGTTCATTAAATTGAGGGCGTTTTTGTCATTTTGTCCTTAATTAACTGAGTTTTTTTTTTTCATGAGAAGACCAAAATGATTGATGGTGGACAAATTTAGAGATCACTTCTATCGATTTCAAATGTTATGGACCAAAGTGATAAGTTATGACAATCTCTGAGATAATTTTGACTAAAATACCATTGATTTTATAGTGGAATCTCAATTTTCTTCATCAACTGCAAGTCTTGGATCAATACATGATTGGATTCTTCACTAACTGCAAGTCTTGGATCAATGCACGCTTGGAGAAGGTAAGCTTTCCCATTAGTAATTACCGAGTTTCTATTCGCAAAAGCTACAATATTAGTATAAATTTAAGGCATACATAAAATGCATCAAAGCTAATTCATTGCAAAAATAAATAAAAAAATATAGCAAGAACTGTGCTTTTTACATTTTCTGAGTAGGCAACCACTAATTGTACAGTGTTTTGTCTATTATATGCGTGACATTTTGTTTTGAGTTATGTGGACAAACTTAGTTACTAGATTATCAAAAGAACTTTAGTAGTAATTACTAGCTGAAAGATTTTTTTATTAAGATTGGGGACAGCTCACTTCATTGGGGTGAACTCATGGTGGACTTTAAACATTGGACAACAACAAATTAGTCTCACC